TAACTTCCTTCTTCACCCTTTCAGTCGTCTCTTCCGTTACTCGATAGTTCCTCCCATAATTAGACATCACGGTGACTCGCTGAACACCAGGCAGTGGTACGACAGTCGCGACCGATGTACTCCTGAAGTGTCCGAAGCAACAGGCTGGAACTGCGATACTTCGTATAGCGTTGCACTGGTCCTGCGAGAGCGCTATAGTCTTTGGCAAGTGGTGCGTCGAGCGGCACAAGCCGATGAAATCATTGAGGCTGAAAAGCATGAGCCCAGTTTCTGAGCGCGTTTGTCGGCAGGTTTGGCTGAAGACGAAGAGACATTCTTTGGGTATTCGTTTCCCTTGCGACGTATCGACTACAATGGTCGCCTGTGTATTCAACCTTGGACTGATATGATGGCCGCCGAGGACATACTCGTATACAGCATTGCGTATCTCTCCGGGGAGACGAAGGAGTGGCGAGTCGCTTTGGTTTTGCAGGGTTCTATCATGGTGAGCGCTTTTGGTGAGACGAATAGATCCGTTTCGGCTTACCTCGCGTCCGCCGTCTTCTGAGAGAGACGTTCCGCCAGAGGAAACTCTTTACCGTTTCTGAGTTGCATTGTAGTCAGCAAGTTCTTGTATGCATGGGAGTATGTAGCGGTGATGTGGGTATGTGGTTGACCTACTTCCAAGTTCTTAGCGACGCCGCACGTGCTGGTACCTAAGTGGCTGCCAGGCGACACGTGAGTCCCGCTTTGACCCGGATGCACACAATGAATGGAGATCTTAGTGCCACCTTATCTTAGAAAAAAACTAAACAGGCCTGCAGGCTACATTAAGCTAAAATCTTGCGAAGTAGGTAACCTAGCGACAACGTAGGCTACAGGCTATTCGGTTTTTTCCTAGGTTGGCGTGGTGCTCTTATATTTGCGAACACATGAAAGAGGATGTTATGAACTCTGGAGGTTTTGAGTGCCTCATGGGCGATGTATCGTCGTAATACCATGACTGTCTTGATGGGATTAAAGTATGGCTTTACGTTTAGCAGGTCATAAGAAACGTCTGAAAGTAGCTAGAAATGATGATATGCATATCCCTCATAACTTCGAGTCGCCCGAGAAACTTACGTACTCTTCTTCTTCCTGTCGCACACCCTGCCACATCTCGGCAACACGCCATAACTTTTCCATTCCAATCTTCTCCAGTAGACTTCCTCTTCTCTTTCGATACATTTCATCATACCTCTCATCATCGACCACCGTCGAACCGTCTTTGTCAAATACCAACATCTTGCCATCCTCAACCCACCCTTCGCCGTGGATATATCGGATGAACTGATCTTGTATAGCTCCTGCTATCCTCCTGTCGCCATCACTGAAGTAAGGGTCGAAATTCTGCAAGAGATATGCAACATCGAGCTCATGGGCTGCGAGACCCTTAAAAGGCCCATCTATTGGGTTGGGGACGTGGAAGTGGTATCGTGAGGCTGGTCTTGATGGTGAGAGAGCTTTCCACCCCCGATACGCTGCTAGCGCTGGTAGATAGAAGCGGAGTTCAGACGCGAGTACTAGCAAGCGCTCTCCCTGAACTTCCTTTGATACGTTGCCATCGAGACGATAGACCTGCAGGAGCCCGAGGGTCTCGAGTGGAGAAAGGTGCGTTTCGCACGCCTTAAGAAGACGCCCAAAACTATTGGGCTGGTCGAGGAGTCGGCCTTTCAGAATGAGGGCGTCGTGCTCCGTGTCGCCTATCACAAATCCCTTGCACCATGATGGCTTGTGTATGGCGCTTGACCCATCCATTATCGACTCGATCGTGACTTCTTGTGCGAAGAATTGGCCGTCGACTGTTGCGGCGAAATGCTGTGCTAAAGGTAATCTCTGAGCTAACTCTTCCGCATCGTTGTCCAATAAGATCCTTCTCCTGCTCTCGACATCGTTGCTATCGATTTTCAGATAGATAGACTGGTCTTCGCACATCTTCTGATGCCACCATTTGTTCCTCCACTTGCGTAAAGATGCCTCACCACTCATAATGACAACACGCTCAAAGAGTCCCTCGTCCCCAACGTTCGCGCAGAGGAGCGTTGATAACGAAATCGCTCCTGCCGACTCGCCTGCAGTCGTGATGTTGTTCGGATCGCCTCCAAAACCCGCAATATGCTTCTTGACCCATCGGAAAGCTAGCACCTGATCTTTATAGCCCATGTTACCGGCTGCACCAATCTCATCGCTGGCCAGGAAACCAAATACGTTGATTCGATATGCCATTGAAACGCCAATGAAGGGTTTACCGGTTTCTACACCTCGCTGAACAAATCGAAGTAGATCATACTGTGGCCAACTGTTTGCTCCGATGCTGAGACCACCACCATGTACCCATACAAACACTGGAAGACCTTGTCCTCCACTCTTTGCATCGCTCGGGATATTCTTGGGCACCGTGACGATTACGTTCAGGCAGTCGAACTCATTCATTCTCTCTGTATCGCCTTGACCCGGGCTGCAAGGCAAGACGGCATCTCCGACTAAAGTCAGGTCCCATGCCTGAGCTCCACGTAACTGTGGACATGATGGACCAAATTGAGTAGCGTCGAAGACTCCGTCCTCACCAACTTCAAGCCTGTCGTCTGGAATCGAATCCTTGTATCGTGCCGGTATTGATGCGTATTTGAGATTGCGAAACTGAGTTGTTGATGTTGTTGATGTACCGCGTAAGGTCCGCTGTAGTGTGGGGTGCTGGAGGGTATTCTCATCGATCGACATTGTTCGTTTCACCTACGCGTTACCTTCCAAAACTCTTGATGAGGATACAAAATGGCACCCGAACTACATATCGTCATGCACCCGCGCTCGCCAGCCTCCCCGCGTAGCACCCCAGACCGCTGACATAGTGTGGGGAGATGTGGGGCTAGACCTCGGCAATGGGAACGGCACCTGGGCAGCGTCTTGCACACACGATTTCGGAGATGTTGAGTAGAACGTCTGTTCTTAGAAACTGCGTTGATTGCTGAAGATATGAAGTTGAGGAAGGGTAGGAACTACGCGTATTGATGCAGAGGTCACATACAGTCAGAGGCGCTAGCCACGCGGGGATCGGGCATCTTCGGCCCTGTCCAGGGTGCGCTTTTGTGTGCCACACAGCGCTATCAGCCAACAATGAGTTATCTCTCTTGCATTAATCGCACGGAGAAGCATATCAAGACCACTAGGCTATGACGACAAGGCTTCAAGAGCGATCGGGCTGTATGCCCAGGTGTATTCGGTGTTTACCTAGCGTGTCAGCAGGCTGCATTAGCGTCTTGTCCCATCGCCACCCAGGTACCATCTCTACCTCATTCATTTGGTCACCTCACATCCGAACTCAAATGCATGGTCAACTAACTCCGAACTATGAGATCGAGTAGCGGCCAAAGCCTGCTTGCACTGGTGTCTGTCAGCTGCGTGCACATAACCGATCCTTAATTCCATGGCTCTTGCCTACCTAGGTGGGCATTTGACCCCATTTGGGTGAAATATATTTACAGTGGTTGGCGCCGAAGAATGGAATCAGGACCATAAAAGGATGTCAGTCGGCCATCGATCTATCATCTAGTCACTCTGTCACCCTCATCAACATCTTCCGAACTGCTGATCACCATGCCTGGCTCCACCCCTACGAGACCTGTCGATTGCACGATTGACTTCGATGTCAGCCACTTATCAGGAAAGACTGCTGTAGTCACTGGAGGTATTTACATCTCTTATTTAAAATGCCATAGTCGCAGCAGTAGTAACTGATACGTTCGTTGAAAAGCTAGCTAATCTCTTTGGCAGGCGGCAGTGGTCTCGGCGAAGCATATGTCCGAGCACTTGTCAACGCAGGCGTAAAGGTGTGTTTCGGAGACCGCGACGTCCACCGTGGACAACAGCTCGCCTCTGAACTGAAAGACTGTCGATTCGTACACTGCGACGTAACAAACTGGGACGACCAAGTCCGCCTCTTCAGCGAAGCCACCTCCCTATCCACCACCGGCAAGATCGACTACGTAGTCGCCAACGCCGGCATCATACACGCAGACGACGTCTTCACATTCGATGGTCCCGCCCAACCACCCCAAAAGCCCAGCCTCGACATCATCTCCGTAAACCTCAACGGCGCCCTCTACACCACCAAACTCGCGTCCCACTACTTCATGATCCAAAACGGCACTTCCCCATCCCCCTCCCAAACAGACACCTGTCTCGTCCTCATCGGCTCTGGAGCGGCTTACCTAGACTGTCCCCGAGGGCCCCAGTACAGCGCGTCAAAGTATGCGATGCGCGGCATCATGCATTCGCTGCGTCGGACGGCGTACTACTACGGGTCTCGCATCAACATGATTTCGCCGTGGTACGTGCGCACGGGTATCCTATCGCACGAAGATTTCGATGCCGTGGAAAAGGCGGGGGTGCAGTTCGCTACGATGGAAGATGCGGGGCAGTGTTTATTGAGGATTCTGAGTGATGCGAGTGTCAACGGGCGGTCGCTCTTTGTTTCTGCGAGGAAATGGGCGGAGAGGGGGTATGTTGATTTGGATCTGGATGAGTATCCGGGCAATGGGTTGTTGGAGGAGATTCAGGCTGATCAGGTCAAGTTTGCGCCTGTAGAGGCTGGTCTATTTGTCTGATCGTTCATTAGCCGTGGTGAAGCCCATGGACAACAGCAAATTAATGGGATACGAGAGATGATCTGGTTAGTAAGTGCTATATTGATCCAGTATGTCCATTTGCCCATGGTCCTTTTGCGTTGAAATCGCACCATCTGCCGCAGTAACCTGCTCCTCTATTAAAGTTAAGAAGAGACATTGTGCCCTAAACTTAATGCTAGCAATACGATGCTATTATTTGCCGGCTGAAACAGCGACAGAAGGTCTGGTTTGAGGAGTTTATGTAGATTTTGGGGACTACACCTTAGATTCCAAGCAATGAAACGTGTAGTAAACACCTACGTACTAGGCAAGACCATGGGTTGATACAACGAAGCTCACGAAACCAACGTCCAGATCTCACTCGTACTAGACAACCCCCAAACCCCTCCCGCCCGATCACCCACAACACTAACACCCATTCCACTCCTATTGTCTATCATCTCCCACACTTCCGGAGTGCCAGTATATCTCCATAGAGTCCCATCACCGTGTCTACTATACAACAAGCCCCCAACAGCATATATACCCACACTTCCAGCTTTCTCAATCGTTTTCCAGCTAGGACCAGCAGTGTTCAGCCACACTACTAAGCCATCGCTTTGCAATTTGTAGAATTCGTTGCCGCCAACTGCGATGGCGATATTCTTCGCGTTGTCGTCAACGATGGCCCATTGGCCTGAATTGTGAGGCCATAGGGAGCGAACAAGATACCCGTTCGTGAGCAAGTTCCAAAGTGTTTTGTCGTCGGTGACGGCTATCTGTTTGGAGCCAGGGGCGGAAGGTTGCTCGATACTAAGCCATGTACTGCCAGAGAGCCGGGCTACCCATCCATCTTTGCGCCGCGAGTACAGTTGGTCGGATGCAGCGACGATCTCAATGACGTTTGAGTCGGTATTGCTAAGAGCTTGCCAGTTCGATGCGCTGCCTGTCCAGCGGAAGGTACCTCCGTCGTAGTGTCGTTGGTAGAGAATTCCATTTGCACCGGTAATTTGGGCAGTGTCTTTGTTGTTGTCGACGACTACCCATGCACCATTCGAGTAGCGAAGAATCTGCCCTGATGAACGCATCTGGTAGAGACCGTCGTTGGCCGAAGCGGTAGCTGTGTTGGACGTGACTTGGATCATATTTGTAATTGCTGAGCCTGAATCGATACGATTCCAAGTCGGGCTCTTCCAGCCGTAGATGCTGTGTATACCCATCTTGTCATCTGGATGCATAGGGCGTATGCTACCATCGTAGTAGGCGAACATGATGGCTGCCTCGACGCCGCTGTGGCTCATCCCGAGAGCGTGACCGATCTCATGAACAGCTGTATATCCAAAGAGACGGTCGTCCGTCCACTGGTAGTCGTCATTAAAGGTAACATTGATGTTGCCAGACGACATGGAGGTGCCATCAGAGACCATGGACGTAAAACCGTAACGCGTATCGTCTCGACCGAGGGGAGAAAAGCGGATGTTGATGTCAGCTTTAGCGTTCGAGGCTGTTTGTACGATGTTTAGGGGTACGTAGTTCATCCATTGGGCAAAAGCGGTACTGGGCAGTATTAGCGACCAGGGTAATTGAACTGGAAGACGAAATCGTAGAGATTGACCTGGAGAAGGTCCACACCATAGCCTACAGAATAGCAAACACCCGAGATGTGAAGGCTCAATTTACCTGATCGTGCTTTGCTGGCGCGCTGTAGACAGATCATTCGTGTAACTGTCGAAGCGCCATGTCAACGTCGCCTTTGCCCACTTCGGGCCCCAGAGTACGTATCGTCGCTCAACGTCCGAGGCGTCCTCTGCGTCTGTCGCATTGTAAGGTTGTTCCGTGCCACAACGCGGCCCGCTCATCATGTCCATCATCTTATCGCTGAAAGCCCCAGTGACAGGCTCTTTGAGCTTCTTTTGTATCTTTCGTATGGCTCTCGGAAGCTCGCTGTCTGATACGGACGCTCCAGGCTTAAGCCAGCCGTAGAGTCTATAGAAGTCGTTGACATGCTTGGAGTGCTGCCTTTGATCGATTGCCGGAGATGGAGGTGGGGTTGAATTCGGTGATGCTGAAGTTGCGCTTGGTATCAGAGCGGTAGTGCCTCTGGCGAAATGCTGGTGAGGTGATGCCAAACAGCAGCGTATGGCTCCGAATAGGATGAAAGCGATGGAGAATCTCGCCATCTTGCAGTTCTCCGTACACTAGACGAAGACTGATCTGTAAGAATGCGTTTTCCAGTTCGACCTTCATTGATATCTCTTTTGTATTTCAATGTCACCCAACCAAAGCGTTCCAACATCAGTCCAACCCGATTGTAGCGAGGTGGTGTGTAGGCACGTTGGTGGGGGGCCATGAACCGTGGTTTGAGGCTGTCTTCATCATCAGATATGCAGTGCCCAAAATAACTTCCACTCATGTATTGTTTGGCGCACTGAAGGAGCAATCGTTGCCGAATCCAAGGGAACGTGAACGCCACTCTACTGCTGACCTGGTACATTCCCTTAACAAAGGCCTTGTATATACGGGGATGACAGTGAATTGGCGCAAGCGTTCCAGTACCGTGCCGTACTCTGACATGGGATCTCGTGGGAAGGACAATCCAGATGCCCTGGTACGGGTTCTGTGTAAGATGTGAATACTCACCCATGCATCTTCCGTCCAGTCTGCTTTCCTGAAAGTTTGAATGCTGTGCCACACTGCAAGCCGATTTTGGAGTAACGCGTACACCTCGGTGACTCCGGTCATGAACTATACCTTCACACTTCTCTAAGTCAGCTGAGCTCAATAATGCCCTCATTATATAGCGAACGTCGACATTTCATGCAGTCAATCTAGTTGAGCCTCACCACCGGACTCTTCTATGTGTGTCTTGTACAAGAACTTTCGACGGTCGAAGATCAGCCGCGGTTCTACTCGAATGTAGATTGAGCTCCTTTACGGGATCACGAGACGTGAGATTGGGGGCATCTAGATGAAACCCCGTCCACTTCCAGCCCCCCGAAGCTAAAAGGCTTGACCCGGGGGCCGGATGGAAATGGTCGACGATCGAATCATGGAGCGGACTGCTGAGCTCTGGCGCGATCAGCGAAGCTATTGCCACAGCTGCCAATGGCGCACCCATGTGTAAGGTGTGATGGTATGCCTGATGCAAGGCTGGTAGGACCTCAGTTGCAAGTGGAACAACATGTCAACCGTATTCGAGATAACTGCATATTGTAACTATAATAGCTGTAATATACCGAACGAGTTGGTGGTGACACTGCGGGCGGAAGATCTGCGTCACGTCCATAGCCGGAGATTGGCGAATCTCGGAGCTACGGCAAGCTTGTAGCAGTCGACCCTAGGATTTATAACCGGTAAGTGTACTCGACGATGAGGCATTTTGGTTTCGCAATGATGATGAAAGATTCTAGTAGTAACCAGCTTGTCGATGAAGGGCGTCTTGTTGGGACGAACGCATAAGCGGCGGGCGGCACGGTTCGGGGCGCTTGCTATGCAGTACAAGATCTTACTGCGTTGTTGGTGTAGGGTGATGATTGGTAATGGTTTGAAGGTCACGTAAGGAAGTTGTTGGTGGGTGGACGCCATGAGAATAGGGCAAGGACGAAGGGAGAGGGGAAGAGGTCGCGTCGCGTCCACGGGTGCGACACAAGACGGAAGCCGCGCTAGGCCCGAACCGCACCGCCCCAGCAGGACAGGCAACTACAGATTCTATTGGATTGGCGCAACGCATTGGTTCCACTGGTTTGCCTACTACATGTCTAACCACCCATGAACCTTTTTGACTGGCACAAGCTATGGATTTGCCTCTACATGGCTTTGGACGAAAGTTCTGAGTCGGCCTTTGCAAGCTTGTCGCCATCCTTCTTGCCTTCCTCGTCGCTACCGTTCTTGCCTTGCTCATAACCCACCTTCTTGCCTTGTTCTAAGCCTGCAGCATAACCTTGGTCATAGCCTTCCCTGCGACCTGCTTCTCTAGCAGCTATCTCTGCCGCCTGGATAAGAGGTTGGCGATATTCCTCCTCTACTTGAACAACCTTATGAATGGCCTTTTCGATGATGTATCGCGACGAAGTAATGAGGCCAACCGCGAGCTCTTCCACCTTCTCATCGAACTTCTTCCGAGCTATCGCCCGAGGATCAGGTGTTGTGATAAGCGCTTCCGGCGAAGCTGTAGTAGCACCGGGTGCGGCTAATTCGGGTTCCTGTTTGGTCTCGTAGAGGTTCGGCGTTGTGTCATTGTACTCTTCGACCGTCTTTGCATCTTCACGCTCTTCGCGAGTGCTTTCCGGCCTAATCTTGTTTTGTCCACTCATGTCTTCTCCAATTGTGTCTTCCGTGACTGCGCTTGGGAATTCGGCGGCACGGTCCGTCGCAGACGTTCGATCACGATCAGATGGCGGATCGGCTAGCTTTGCTGACGGTAATGATGCGGAACTGGTTGATAGATTCCGTGAGCGCTTACGGTTTGCGGGTGGGCTAGTCATCTGGGGCAGTGGACTTGCTAGGGTGAATAACTTGAATTGAGTCTTGTCTTGTCTTGAGATTGGTGGCTGATGTGTCTGGGGATGTGCATGTTCATATAGTGGCTGCTGTGTTTGGTAGGAAGTAACTAGCCTTTTGTGGAATGTTTGTCTCGGACGCTTCGAGCGTTTGTCGCTTTGTCAGACTATGCATTGCCTCTCCGTAGGGATCAGGGAAGGGACTAACGTGCATATCTCGAACACTCCAGATTTAGGAAGCCTGCGTGCAATCAGTCGATGCACGGAATCATCGCATGTTACTTACCGCGACATCCAAATTTCCCACACGTAGCTCTGTGCATGGTTCGTCACACTGGCAGCCGTTCATCACATGCAAAAGCCTGTCTTGTGTTTGAGATAGTCCAGTTCTCGTGGGTATACCGCTGGAGCCAGAATCAATTGATAGCATCTATGCCACACTATTCATCCCCTATGCACGCCATTACTTCTACCGACCCATGCTGTTGATCATCTCCCTCTGTGTCGCGCGGTCCCGGTTCGTCTGGCTGAGTGATGGGATGCTCCTCAGGTCACCCACAACGTCCTTTGCCTTTCCAAAGTACACCTCCTGCAGCAGATTGCGCATCTTGAGCTCCATATCCTCGACCATCTTTCCAATGTTGGCGACGTGCGAGGTGTCATCCTCGACGGCCATGTCGGCTTCCACTTGGCGCACCATATTACCGGAGAGGTCAAGACCGCCGAGCGCTTCGCTGTCGGTGCCGAGGGAGAGGATGACGGTGGAGGTGAGCTTGTAGTGTGAGGTGCGGGCGCGGTCTTGGGCGTCGAAGACATGGATGCTGTCCCAGCTGCCGGAGCTCTTGGGCGTGGGGTTGACGGCTGCGTGCATTAGCATGTGATGGATGCGCAGACCCGAGACTGCCTACCCTTCTTCAGCAGGACACAGCCTGCAAAGCCATCGTCCATGTCCCACAGGTACACGCTCGATATGCCGCCCTCGAAGTACCTATCTGCATCAGCCAAGCTCTCCAAGCTGCCCCTTCCCCTGCGTGCACTCACAGCTCCCGGTACACGTCAAAAGCCTCGTTCGCCTTGACCTCCATCTTACGGACACGATCGCTAGGCGTGACACCTTCCTCAATGGGCGGCTCGAACTCGTTGCTCCACGGACTCCTCCAGCTGTCGCCGTCGCGGTTATAGTCGCAGCACAGGAAGTCGCGCTTCGTCTTGGAGCATTTCTTGACCGTCAGCGGTATGTCGACGGACTCGAGCAGGTCCTCTTCCAGCGAGGGGTTGAGCTGGATAATGTGGTCGACATTGCGCTTGACGTCCTTGGGGTTCAGTCGGCGCAGAAGGTCGCTGACATGGGCTGTTAGCTATACACACGGGGAAGGCGGGGTAGGGGAAGCCTCACAGGGCGCTGTCAATGGGGTCCGCCATGATTCTGATTCGGGTCTTGGGCGTGTATCGCTCGGGCGTGATCAAGGTCGGGTTGCTTGAGTATCGCTTGGGTCCTAGCCCCGTCCCCTCAATCTCCAGCGGCTCGTCAGTCGGCGATTCGCTGGCCGGCCCACACGAGTCAGGCGAGTACAGGCGTTGGTACCCCATCCCCGCGACGCGTCAATTCACGCAACAACACCTCAACTCTCTTTTTCGTTGTCGCTGATTATCGCGTTGTATGGGTTGCTGTCCATTCCAGGAAGGGTGTTTGTCCTCGCGTCACAAGGCTTGTGGCAGCAGCGGCCTGTTTCTGTCTCTTTCTCTCAACAATCGCGACTTCCGTCGTCAAGGACGAACTCTTTCACTTCCATCATGACGTGTTGTCAGCGCTCTTCGGGGCTTTCTTTTGATCATGCTAGATGTCATGTCTCGTCTCGTTGAATAAGCGCTTTTCGTTGTGGCAATATAATAGAACTCGTTGCGAGTATGCAGACAGTCGTTTGCATTGACTGCCACTTTTGCTCATGGAATAACAAGCAAGAAAGAGCTATCGTCATATCATTTATACAAGACATGAGGGGGTAAGACCTCTGGATTCCGAAATGTCTGCTCTCATACCATATCACGTAAGGCAGTCCGATATCGAGGTGCGGCTCACCTTCACTTCGTCGTGGCGCACGTGTGCGTGTCCGATGGCAGGCGACCAATAGCGCGAGCTCAATCCAGGGTCTCGCATCATGAAGTCGAGGTGAGGGCCGTATTTGGCTTATCTGTGTGCGCCGTCCATCCTGGTGTGCTCACCTTCACTTTCCTGTCATCGCGCTAATCCCCGCATTCATAATCTGCATCCGTCTCCCTCCTGCATCCTCTTTACAACTTGAGCACCAACACACTGCGACCAACATTCAAGCACACCCCGAAGATTCATCATGTCTGACAACGATAACACCGCCGTCGCCAATGGCTCTTCTCCTCAGTTCACCGAGCGCGAGCTCCAGCTCCTCGGATGGGCCATGCAGTCCCTCAAGTCCGGTCCTCCAGAGGTAGGCCACCACTCCCCCTCTATTCCTATCCCACCACTCACACCTGCTATAGATCGACTACGAGAAACTCGCCGCGTACTCCGGTATGACCAACCCGCGCTCCGCCAGTAACGCCTGGGCCAAGATCAAGCTCAAGTTGATGACACCCTCTCCCGACGGCGCCGTTCCGGCTACCCCCAAGAAGACTCCTCGCAAGAAGGCTGCTGCCGCCAAGCAGGAGGACGGCGAAGAGGGTGCCGACGCGACCCCTAAGAAGACCCCTCGCAAGCGTGTCGCCAAGAAGCAGGACGTCGACGGCGAGTCTTCCCCTAAGAAGAAGGCTACTCCCCGTGGCAAGAAGAACGAGAGTAAGCACACCCTGGAGCCTACGTTGACATTGGGTCGCCTACTTTGCGTGCATTAATCTTGATGTAAACTCCAGACCGCTAACATACCGCAGCTGTCAAGGCAGAGTCTGACGAGGACGCTGACACCGGAGGCTCCCCCATGAAGATCGATCCCGCCAAGGAGGAGATCGTGGAGGATGAAGTCTAAACCTGTTCTGCAAGCCTGACGTAAGCCAATAACGTTCTACGAACTGGTCGACTTTTCGTTTGTCCTTTCCTGGCTCTAGCTATAGGAGGGCGAAGCGCACATGGATGGAGGATCTGGCCTGCAAGGGTTTGTACATAAAAGTCTAGCACGGCGTTTGGAGTACCACGGCAGCGGCGGAGTTGGAATGTTCCCAAGATAGCGATCGCAGCTGCACGTCGCGCATCTCCAATGCACATCTTTCATCATATCTACCACTTACATTCCGACATGACCGGATGACATGACTACTACTTGCCTGTTTCCGGTACGCATTAAACCCTGTAGGTGTGGCAACGCACATGTATCGCAGCACCGGGGTGCTGTAGCCGATATTACCCCAGACTCTTGGTCATGCACAGCTCATATGCATATAGCACGTACAGATCACTCTGCAATACCTTTGGCGATGCGCATGCCGCCAAACAGTATTGCGGTCACGTACGCATCAGACTCCGCATACAGTCACCAGATGTTCATCAACACTGCTGCCCGCATGTGTGCAATTGCCATCGCATTCATAGCCACCGGCATCCTGAGCCATAATCGCAATACCTAGACATGGTGCGTCAAAATCACGAAAACATGAAAGGCATGAGCGCGGCGATGCCATCGCCTATGGAAGGCAAGTCAGGGCTCGTAAGTAAGGAAAACTTCAACTTCCTACGAAGAGACGACTAACAAACATTCGTAGGCGAGCGCTCATAGCACGAGTATCGTACTGCTGTTACTGCTTCCTCTCGTTTCCATCGGCATTTTCTATACGGGCGCTCAGCATGTGCTCCTGCCTGTACTACACGCGTACTTACCCGGACAGCTCCTAACGTACCTGCCGCCATCGGTATGGGAAGGCACAGCCAACTCAAAAGAGCCCCAGGGTCCGAAGAACCTACTCATAGCATGCGCAGACCATCAGTACACGACTGAGATTATATCTCTCGATCCTCTTGTGATCTATATCAATAACTTCACGTCAGCACGAGAAGCAGAAGGACTCATCACCCTCGGGTAAGCATACTTCTCTTCGCCTACCGTAGGCTGTTCATATCAATACTAAACAGTAACTGACCCTCTCAGCTCCCCCGAATTCGCCGAATCCTTCATCAGCCGCTCGCGAGGCAACACGCAGCGTGTAACAGGGCGAACTTCTCAATCCGCGCCGCTCTCACTGGGAGACCCGCTTGTCGAATGCCTTCTTAATCGCGCGCGAACGTTCGTGGGCTCCATGCTACTTCCCTCCGAACCTTTCAGCATCCCGCAACTCGTGCGCTACTTCCCCGGCCAGAAGTACAACCTCCACACAGATTTCTGGCCCGAACACCAGATCACTACTCTTGAGAATGGAAGGCAGGTGTATTACAATCGTGTTGCGTCTTTCTTCGTGTTTCTGCGCGACAATTGCACAGATGGATACACGTCCTTTCCTCTAGTCGAACCTTCGTCGTCTATCGATCTAGACGGTCTCTATAACGGCAAAGTCGCTCACGGAGAGATGGATGGAGAAGTTAAAGGCATTAAGTTCAAGCCGATCCAAGGAAACGCGGTGTTTTGGGTCAATCTGGACAAGCACGGTAACGGCGATAGAAGAGTGGTACATGCTGGTTTACCTGTGGGCGAAGGAGAGAAGATTGGGCTGAATATCTGGCCCAGAACATACTTTGGGTACGTGGACGGTGATAGTGTTGATGAGGTAGAGACGGCGCAGGCGGCACGGCAGGGATGGAGCGGGAAATGGAAGGACTAGGTAAAGAGTATGTTACCAACTTTCCGGGTCGTCGAAAACGAACCAAAATATTGCATTTAGCGCATATCTACCCATTGAAACAATCTATCACATCTCAAAACCTTAATATTCAAATTACCCATCCAAGGTCGATGCGCAAGGCCATCCCCATGTATACGAAACAATGACGCGCGTTTCAGGCCATGGCAGATAAAGTGACGCTCAGCATCCGCACATGAACTAAGACAGGGCGACGCCGCATCCAAGAAACCCGGTGGCTGCCGTGTAACACCAAGGCAATCATGTAAATTGCGGCGCATCGGTCATTGCATAGCGGCCTTGCACTGCGTGCGTCCCTATCAAACACATCAGTCTCACAAAGAACCACAACTCGACGAACACACTTCACACACTCCAGAATTAACATTCGACAACCTTCCTCTGCGACTCTCCAAGATATCTGTCAATTTAAAAATGCCACAAATCATCATCACCTACCCGGCCCTGCACCTACCACACTCGAGTCCCGCGCCCTCCTTCCCCGACTACCCCACACTCCACAAATGTCCAATGTACATTGCTCAGTTCATCGATCCCATGATCCGTTCGTGGAATCTAGGGCCTGGGTTCTGCACGCGCGACAACCTGTTCGGAGTGAGCTATTTGATCGTCCTGGGTGTGAACTACATTCTCGCTATGATGGCTTTCTTTATGGTTGTCGCTGTGCTGAGAAGAGTGGTGTGCTGTAGGTGTGGAGGAAGGGATAGAAAGCGGGGAGAAGATATGGGCGGAGATACGAGGGGTATAGATCGAGCGGAACGGGGAGAGGGGGGTTGGATGGGCAAGGTATGTTTTGGTGATGCCATGACGCTTGGGTGGATGCATGCTGATGACTTCTGTAGCAGATCAAAGCCTTTCAGCCGATATTGAGTCCGGTCAGGGAGAAGGAGAAGATGTGATATTGAGGGAGTACGAAAGTGGGAATCATCCTGTTTGTCATACAAGCAATCGAGAAATGGGTTTCTTGGTCTCGATACTCCGGCACATCGATACGACAAGTCAGCTGCGACAGTTTTCAATGTCATATCAGAAGTGGAGCCGGCGCCACTGTCGCCAAATGCTGAGCGGGCTTGTAGTGCATTGCGGGCCAATAGGCGCCGTAGACATGGACATGTCTTCACATAGGAGTCGCGCGACGGCTATGGCCATCATGTGAGCGGATTCGCTAGGGGAGTTCTTCGCGTTGAGCGCTCACAGGATTCGAGGAAACAAAGTCCTGGTGTTGAAGGGACTCCTTATCTGCCGGATGGGTCATGTGCAGTACATTGGTACGGAGGTGCCGAGAAGACTAAGGGTTGAGGGCAGAATGGAAGCCAGGAGTCTATATTGTCGTTGGGTCATTGCCCTTGCGTGTTTTCATCTTCATGTAAGGTCTACATTGCCGTTCGGTCATTTACTCTGCATGTTTTTACCTAGATGTCAGGCCTGCATTGCCGTTAGGTCATCCACTCTGCATGTTTTCATCTAGACGTAAGGCCTACATTGTCGTTGAATCATCTGCTTTGCATATCCTCATCTCAATGTAAACTACAAACCTACCTACTCATTCATCATCCTCATCATCCTCATCCTCCCCAAACTCAACCCCATACTCAGCACAGACATCCCACCGGTCCCCCTTCGCACTCTTACTAACATACTTGGTGAACCGCAACACACCCCGATCCCTCAGCACAATAGCGAGGTTATTCCACGCAGCGGGCTGACTGAACAAGATACCATCGTCCTCGTCGTCAGCAGCAGACTTGTAGATAGCAGGATCGGCCTTTGCTTTGCGACGTTGACCTGCACCCGTAGACGTCGAGGCTTCACCAGTAGGCACGCTGGGGTGATCGGCATCGTCTTCACCAGCCATGTACATTTCGTAGCCGCCGACCTCCTCTTCAGGCTTGGGTTCCGGTTCTTTTGCCTTGCCCTTCTTCTTACTCTTTTTGCTGCTGCTGCCGTTTTGCTTGGTTTCTTCCTCAGCGCCTTCTTCGGGCTCTTCGTCTTCGTCGCCCCAGCCGCGGGAGGGCGTGATACCGAGACAGACTTCTAGCTGCGGGTCTTCTTCCTCGTAGGCGGTCGCGAGTGTGTAGTCGAGACCTCGCCGGAAACGGCGCGCGAAGATGTTGCTCTTGGTCAGTGTGATACCGGTTACAAGAGAGATCCACTTCATGAACGCTGGGTGCGGAAAGAGTATGTCGACGAGGTCGTCGTATGGTGTCATGCCGTCGTTCTCGGGGTACGGTGTGGTTGGTATTGGCTGAATAGCTTTTCGGTAGAGATAGCGCTGCTTGTGTGGCGGTCGTGCGACACCAACCATCGATTCCTTGGAGTGCGGGTTGTTGGGTAGGCTTGGGTTCGCCTCGTGGTCTTTCGACTCAAGATACTCTCGTAACCGCGCAGAGAATTTATTAGACAGGAACTGTGCAAGTCGTAACGACGACTCGTCGCCAAACATGTTGGACAGCTCCTCTACTGTGTCCGGTACCAGGTAGTTCGGGTTCATGAACTTGATCAGGAAATCAATGTCGTTCTCAGTCAGCTCGTCGTCCTCTTGTTTCGCCTGCTCTTCCCAGTCTGGGTTGTCGACCCAGTGTGATTGCGGCTCGTCGAAAACGTCCGCCTTGCCTCCCTGCAGTTGAGCAAGCGAGCTCTTCTCTGCCAGCTTCTCTTCGAGACCCTCTTCGTAGCCTTCTTCGCCCTCTTGCGGAATGTGGAACCACCCGCTAATGGCCATGCGAACGCGACCACCGTCTTCTTCTGCCTTCTCTTCCAACCCTCTCCTGTAGACCTCCTCGACGTCGTGGAAACTCTCTCCAGGCTGGACGGTGAAGAAAGAGAGCTGGTTCCATGCCGGCGGTATCGATAGCGAAAAGTCCGGCTGTGGCACCCTGACCTTGTCGCCGTCTGGTGTCTCGAGATGTTCGGTTGGGTACAGTCGTAATGCGCCTCCCCACTCTGGCTTCCAAGGAATGTCAGGGTCCAGTAGATACAGAATCCAACTTACACGCCGACTTCCGATGACGTCGTCGTGGCAAAGCAAGTGGCATCCTGGTGTGTATACATTCTGCGCCGTAGTCAGTACAGTTCCTCAGACAATGCGTCGCGCAACCTACCACTGCCATATCCGTCTTTACTCCACTCAATGGCCCAGATCCTGTTATCGAAGATAGGTACTTGCGAAAGGCAGACGAGT